AGCAACGGAGGTTGCAGGAGGCCGTGGAGATCAATGTGCGGAGACGCAAGGAAATAAACCGAAGGAAACGAGAGGAGAAAGCCCAGGAGATTTTGTAGAGGAACAATGCAAAAATAGGCCGGTGTAAGCTCCAAAACCATTGGGATGACACGAGATAGCACGTTGTCGAGGGTCCTCAATTCAAGACCGGGCTTATACCGCATTGAGCCAAGTGGAGAAGAAGACCTGACCTCGAGAGTGGAAAATCAGAGCAACTTGAAGGCTGCTCCACCCCTAAGGCACACGGGAGACCCGGTGATGGATGAATCAGAAACTGAAGACAAGGGGCCCCCACCACAGTTGGGCATGATGACGAGAAGACAGGCGGCCAAGGATGAAGCTAGCAAGCATAACAGGGACTAGGAATAAGGGAGTTGGAGGAGTCGTGAGTAGGGCAGAGAGAATAGGAGAGATGGCTAGGTCAGATATGCGCGTTGAGTTGTGGTTGCTGTCATGAGCAGGATTGTGTGTACGGTTGTAATGGCCAGGGCCCCACTAATATGGTCTGGTGCATTGTCAGAGGGTTGGTTTGCCGGCATGAGGTTCGGAGGCGTGGATTGTAGTCGATCGTTGTAGTGACCAGAAACACAGTGAGAGCGCTCGATTTGGATTGAGTATTATTTTTGACACTTGTTTTCCCAAAGCTCAAGGACCAGGCAAAAAGACAGCATGTTTGTTTTGCGTTGAGTATTATTTTTGACATTGGTTCTCTAAGCTCAAGGACCAAGGACCAGGCAAAATGAGAGCGTGTTTGGTTTGAATCGGTATGATTTTTTTTTTACACTAGTTCTCTAGTTCAAGGACTAGGCAGTAAGCAGAGGTTGCTGGCTTGTGAGTTGGAGTCGTTCAGATTTGAAGGTGGCTCTAACTTGTTCTCTCAGCATATGAGGACAGTGCTGCCTTCTTTTAGGGAGGTCGAGTGTCAGCTGCTTTAAGCATGTTGCAGGTGTGAGATGCAGTTATCAGAGCAGGTCTCCTCTAGAGGGGTCGTATGCATACTTTTTCTCAGCACATGAGGACAGTGCTGACTTTTTTTTAGGGGGGTCGATTGTAATATTCAGAAATTTCGGTGTGATATTTAGAGACGTTAGTACATAAATAACCGATATACCGATATGCTGAGTCACCCAAAGCCATGTGGTAGGTTGGCTGAGTGCCAACAGCGCTTACCCAAACGTAGTGAGCGCATCTGGAACTAGGCCTATACGATATTAAATGTATTTTACCGAATTAATGAATGCAAATCATGAAATTAAGGGAATAACATTAAATTTAAAATTATTATAGATCGTTTCTCAGTCTAAATATGTTACGTGGGTCCCAAAGAAGCTATTTAGTTTGCGAAAAATGACGTCACTAGTAGGGTACGCCTGGGTGTGACGCTTGGCTGGGGTCTCAGGCCCATATGCAAGATCAGCTGTGGTGTATACCATGCTGTAGTACTCCCATGGTTGTTATGCAAGAAGCGTTTTTGGCTAAAAAAAAAGAAAAATATGTACGATTCGTTAGGTTAGGTTAACATTTTTATATAGATCATTAAAATTTTAAAGGGGTTATAATTTTTGCTCTATGAATTTCTCCAAAAAAAAGGATCAAAGTCTTGGAATCACCATAACAATATACACTACAGTACAATACATTAAAAAAAACAATAATTTTTTTAGTGTGTGTTGCATATCAAACCAAACAAATCTGAGTTTCCTTTGGAATTTTTTATTTTTATTTTTTTTAACAGAAAAAATTACCCTCAATATTTAGATGTTGGAAACTTATAAATATTAACCCTCATAAATATAGATGTTTCAGAATTCGGAAATTTAACTAACACAATATTAATGACTTTATTTTCACTTACAGGTAGAGATACAGCTGACTATTCACCTTTCACCAATACTGAAGAAATAAATCTTGGTATCATTTGATTGATGGGGAATTTTTCCGGTTCCAGGGAAGATTTTGGAATTTGCTTTCTAACCTAACCTCGGAACTGGTTAGCAGACTCAGAACAGAAATATTTGGAGACTCTCCGTAAAATCCCCAAATTACTCATAGACCAGAAAAAATGCAGTTTCTGGAATTTTCTGAACATATACCTTGGAGAAATCATAACGTACTGTATGCCTTAATTATTATTATTTTTTTTTTTTTTTACACTCTGCATACATACGTGGATATTACGTATTAATTTGTTTGTGAAATTTGTGGATGATTTTTCTTTTAAGATACTTTACTCTTGATCATCCATATATTATAACATATCCTGCTTTTAATAAAGGCTATATTCTGAAATAAGCATTATCATTGTATTTTTATCCTTATTATTATTACAGTTTATATTAAACATTAAAAAATGCAGGAATGATTTGCAATTAACATTGCAGACTGTTTGAGGATATTTTTAAACCCTTAATTATCATCTTGTTCTATGTTTAACATTATTAGTCTCTGATTAGTTGGTAGAATTTCATGACTGTACCTACTGTATATACTGTACTGTAGGTTCCATGACATTTGCTCACAAGATGAACCTAATCTAACCTAACATGTCTTCATTTCCATAATGGTTGAGTATATGTCTTGTAAACAAATGTCTCAACACTAACTATATGAAGGCTCTCTGGTGAGGATCCATATACAATATTTACATGTAATATTTTTCCAAATAAAAGACTTTTTAAACAGCAGAGACTTTTCTCCAACTTCTGGTTTAGTCCATGTCTTAACATATTTTATACATTTTTACTCCTGACATTGGGAAAGTGTTCATGTCTTGTTTTTTTGAAAGGGTATTTATTGCATTACTATAATCAGGTGGAGAAAAGGAGGAAACATTGTCTCAAGTTTTCATATCTTGTAGATAACTGGCCTTTTATAATATGAAAGTAAAAATTTTGGTACCTGTATAAAGATAATTTCCTGTTTGATAGAAAACTAACAGTTATGATGGTATTTTTTCAAGATTTTATCCCAATTCATCTGTACAGTGAGTTCATCACTGTCATAACAACATTAAAATACTGTACCTAATATTGTACTTTGGTATATTCAACTGACTTCATCCACAGAACAGGCCATAGTTCTCTTTATTACACTCACCCAACCCCAAGTTCATGAAAAACTTCTAACTTTATTGTTAGATTTAATAAGGATAAGGAAGAAAGGAACAGATATTTCACTCAATTCCTACGTTTTTATGGTTGTCACAGGCTTTATTTACCTATATTCACTGTAAATGATCGTATTTTATTCCCAGAATTGGCTTATAATCCAAGAAAATAGGAAAATGAGGTGCACCTTAGCTTGGGATTCAAGTTTTTTATGCTCGTAAATCGTGTAGCAAGAGCAAACGTTTCGTGCCACTGACAACGTTTTCAGGGTGCAAGCATACCAACCCCCAAGTCTTCCGCCAGTTGGTACACCTGACTACACTACGATGACGTAGTAACAACAAACGACAGTCTGGTACCACCATGGCCCATCTTGAATAATCACAAAATTTTAATTCCATTGTATTACCACCGCCGGGATACCATGGCATGGTGTACACCACGGCTGATCTTGCATTTGGGCCTTAGTCAGACCATAGCTGTCGGCGCAGACGAACGCTCTCTGCGTGGCCGTGCAGGAGAAACGATCACGTGGTCTGGTCTCCATGTGTGTACGCCATTGAGTTTACTCAAATTCCAACAACACAATTGGTTGCATTTATAAAGTTCCTTGCAAGGAATGTAATATGTTTTACTTAGGCCAGACAGGTAAAGATCTTGTAACTAGACTGAAACAACATAAATATAGTGTTAGGACAGGCCAGGAATCCAATGCTCTGTTTGTTCATTTGAGGGATAATAAGCATTGCATTGCATTGACTGGGAACATTATAGAATCTAGTCTCATTAAACATACCGAAGCAGTCAACATGAGTTTGAGTAATGGCATGTACAAACTGGACAAGTTTGTAATTAAGAAGATTTGTAACCAGATGAGAAGGTTGTGTCACCTTACCCTCTGACCTGACTACCGACCGTTGCGGTGCTTTTTAAAGATTAGTAGGGTCATTACCTAATACCTGACCATTGTGGACCTGATCTCACCCTCCTCTATATATATACACCTTGTTTTGTACTTCTCCTTAGTCTGTACTCACCCCTGAAGATGTGAATTACACGAAAGCGCTTGGGAACTTCGTGTTTCCTTTTTCCTTGTGGTTATCAGTATATATATATATATATATATATATATATATATATATATATATATATATATATATATATATATATATATATATATATATATATATATATATATATATATATATATATATATATATATATAACACTCAGTTGCGGTATACATTGGGCTATGAAAATCAGTGTCATGGGTTAGATTAGTTTTTTAAGTCTATGTCTTACAATCTAATCAGTGTTCGAGCTTGCAATGCAATCATTAAATTGATGTCAAGCACACAGGCTGGCAATCATATTATTTACAACGTTATCAAAAGGGATACAAGGGGCTTTTTTCTCACCATTAGATTTTAGGGCAATAAGGAGTCGACAGGTTTTTGTTTTTTTCAAATGATTAATGACTTTCTTAAATACACAACTGGCAATAATTTCAATTCAGTCATCAGATTCTCTGATGATTGTGAATTAAAACAATCTGACTTCAGTGACAAATAGAAACTCTATCTGTCTTACATTGAGGGAATAGGATTTTCGCCTCTATTGCAAACTCGAACACACGCACTTACTTGACAATTTTACTAAAAGGAAATACGGTTGTCATATTATGGAATAAATTATTTTTGAGTTTACCTTTACTCTAAATATCCTCTTGTTCTAATTAGGTTTTGTTTTGTTCTGTTGCAGATGTATGTGGATTTATGAGTTGAATAAAGCCTTGATTACTGAAGGTGTTTGATCTCATACGACAATTTACTCAACTCATATTCTACTAGCAATATGGAACGCATACTCTGCCCCGACAAGCTTGATGTTGATCCAAATTCCCCAGCTGCTGAGAAGGAATACAAGCACTGGCGTAAAACTTTTGAAAACTTTATTGATGAGTGTGGAGACAGAGCGCTTGACAAACTACGATGTTTGACAAAATATGTGTCTGCTACTGTGTATGAATACTTTGCTGATGCTACGGAGTTTGAAACAGCTATACAAGTGTTGGAAAAGGTGTATGTGAAAAAGAAAAATGAGATATTCGCCAGACACCAGCTCGCCACAAGACCTCAGCGTCCTTCCGAAACCAAGGCTGGCATTACGGTACGGTACGGTACGAAGTACGGTACGGTTGATATTTAGTCAGAATGTACGGTACGGAATTACAGTACGATATTTTCTTTGAAGTACGGTACGGTACGATTTAGGTTCGGAAAAATGAGCAAAATTCCGTACCGTACCGTACCCCAGGCTTAAAAACATGATCATGCAATTATTAACCCCTTGAGGATTTTGACAGTTTATTCTGGCTATCATTGGACACTTTTATGCAGCTTAGGAAGGATTTGTGGGAGTAAACAGTATAGACTAGCTGAGTTAGCCATCTGTCTATTGTCTTTCTATACACTTTCTAAATTGAATAAAATCATCTCATAATAGTCAGAAAAGAGAAAAGAAATGTGTCATCGATCTTCAAAGGGTTAATGCGCTGGTGGCTTCAGTGAGTGCACTTACGTGATCGGTACCGTCCGCCAGGCGCCAGCTGGTAGTCTGGTACTGTCAGTACTGATCACGTTGCGTCACGCGAACTATTCACGTATAACTTGAGAGTTGAGAGTAGTGTCTCCAACTCTCCACACTCCATAGCCACCGAGACACCGGCTGATGCAGCATCATACTTCACAGACGGCTCGGTGGATCCAAAACATCATACATCCGGAGCGGCCTTCTACACCCAAGGTCAGACCCTCCGATGGAAACTTTCTAATGACTGCTCCACCCTACAAACAGAGCTGGTAGCAATCTCAAAGGCCCTACAACACGCTGCAACACAACACAACAAGTCCATCATAATTCACACGGACTCGAAATCGGCCATGCAGGTGCTGCAACACAGTCAACCAAGAGACAACGTCCACATCATAACCTCGATCCTCGCACAGCTACAGGAATTCCAAAGACAAAACCGCCCAGTCGTCTTACACTGGATTCCCAGTCATGTAGGGATCGGGGGAAACGACGTGGCAGACGAAGCAGCCAAGGCAGCCACACGTTCTAGTAGCATACACATTCAAGTTCCAACAAGTGTGCAACAGATCAAGAGTCACCTCAGAAAGACTAGCAAGCTCCACATCCAAAAGAGCTTCCTTCACGCATTCAACGCTGGTTCCCAATCAGCCAAATGGTACCTGGCGGCTACAAAAGGGGAACCACCTTTCGCAGACAAGAAAACACCAAGACAAACCCAAATTAGCCTTCATCGACTACGACTAGGGTACAAGTGCTCCTGGCAGATGATCGGAAATGACGTCATGGAATGCACCTACTGTCAGGAGCCAGCAGCCAACCCACTTGAACACTATCTCATCGACTGCGAAGTCACACAAAGCCTCCGAAACAGAACTCAAAACTCCCAAGAAGCACACACAACACCAGCGGCCACTCTAACCCGAAAGGCCCAAACAAACCACATTCACCACCTTCTCCGGGTCATCACACGGTACCCACCACCCAGATAGCTTAGAAAGTATCCTCTCCCAGCAAGTGCGGACTCCACTTCGGGGGGCACGCCACTCCGAAACGGACCACGTCCAAGAGTGGGGGTTGGTGGTAAGCGTCCACTGATCGGGGGTCCGCTCACACTTGCAACCTGCAGTATCCTTTCATATCTGCAGGTAGGACAACCTCCCATCCCAATCCGGTCTGACTGCTCCAGGAGCTAAGGTCCGACAATCTCAACAACAACAACTCCACAGTCCATTGTCGTTGTCGCCGTCGGGAGCAGTCATCCGAGGCAGGTAGGGGCACTTTATCTAATATTGCACATTATTGGTAAGATGACACATATTTTTGCTTCATTGTAAATTAGGTAGACTAAAAAATAAAATTCCGTAATAAGGCAACAATATTATGTGGGCACATTTACATCTATAGTCACTTCGTAAATGTTCCTTTTCAAATCCACACATGTGCTCTAATAAATTGTTCACAAATAGAGAATTATTTTGATGTAAATATATTTTGCTGATGGTACGATAAAAGTACGGAATTACGGTATGGTATTTTTTCCGTACTGTGCGGTAAGGAAAAATAATTGGGGGTACGGTACGAAATTACGGTACGGTATTTTAGCCAGGTACGGAGTATGGAAAAATATTCCGTACCGTACCGTACTACCAGCCTTGTCCGAAACACTGGATGAATTTCTTCGCGACTTGCACAGACTCAGCAAAGGTTGTACTCTAAAAGCTGTCACAGCCGAAGAATATCGTGAAGAGTTAGTACGGGATGCCTTCATCAACGGACTGTCTTCTGCAAACGTACGTCAACGTCTATTGGAAAATCAGGCTCTCACACTCTCTCAAGCTTTTGATCAAGCTAAAGCCTTGGATCTTGCACAGCGTACTTCGGAAGCCTTCCAGCCACTAGGCCCTGTCATTGCAGCAGCTTCAGGATGTGTGGAGGAAACTGTTAAGTCACCATACACTAATCAATAAGATATACTTCCAGTTGAGGACTCAACATTTGCTAGTATGACCACTAAGAAACGATGTTGGTTTTGTGGTGGCAGTCTTCATTTACGGGCGAGATGTCCAGCTAAAGATAGTGATTGCTCTTCATGTGGAAAAAGAGGGCACTGGGCAAAAGTCTGTCAGACTAAGGGTTAGAAACAGGTCACGGCATCAATTTCATCTCCTACTCTTTGTGCCATCTCAGCTGCTGCTCCTCATTGCCCGAATTGCTCTGCTACAAACTTAAAGGTAAGTTCTGAGAGTTTCATTGACAAGAGAGTGGCCCACCTGCTTAAGCTTCACATCAAACCCGTTTCCCAAGTATAACCCTGGCAATGTCTTCTTCAACGGCTTCTGCGATTGGTGAATGTTCGGTGGATCTCTATGTGATTGACAGCCATTATTCAAATACACGTCTGGGCGTCATTGAGAATCTTTGTGGTGATATTATTCTAGGCATAAATTTCCAAAAACAACACTCCTCAGTTACCATAGAGTATGGAGGACCCAGACCTGAGCTCAAGATTTCCAACATTGGTAACAAGCCTGTATATAGCCTGGCATCAGCAGGTATGTCAGAACCACACCAAACTCGACGCATATCCATTGCCAAACATTGAAACCATGGTCAACACTCTTGCTAAGTACCACGTGTTCTCAACATATGATCTAAAGAGCACATACCATCAACAGCGCATAAGCGAGTCTGATAAACCCTTTCCAGTATTTGAAGCAAATAGCAGACTGTATCAATTCACACGTGTACCATTTGGTGTCACTAATGGTGTTGCTGTTTTTCAAAGAGCCACAGACAAGTTCGTGGAGGAGGAGAGTCTATGTGACACATTTCCCTACTTTGACAATATTACCATAGGTGGTAGGGACCAGAAAGAACATGATGCAAACCTTGAGAAATTTCTTGCTGCTGTTGAGAAAAGGAAGCTGACATTCAATACATCCAAATCTACAATATCAGCAACATCGATCAATCTTCTGGGTTATCAGCTTGGAAATGGTCAAATCAAACCAGATCCTGAAAGGCTAAAACCACTGCAAGAACTTCCACCACCTACAAACCGATCGGCTCTTCAACGTGTGCTTGGTATGTTTGCTTATTACGCTAAGTCAGTGGTTCTCAACCTTTTTCACTCCATTTCCCCCTTGAGGAATTTTCAACCTCCTCGTGGCCTCCTTCATTTTTCTCCCAGAACAGACAAACAGACAAGTGATAAAGACTACAGAATGATAAAAAAGGACAGATAAATAGGACAAGAGTTAGAATGGCAAACACACACACATATTCACATACATAACACGCCCATTCACTCACACATAAAGCACACATACAGTCATACACAAACATGCACACAGCTAAACATTCACACTCAAGCTAGCAAGCTGAAGTGTACTTCCTGTAAGCAAGAACACGCCTCCTTTGACAAGTACTGCCCAACTTGGAAGAATGAGAAGAATAGTGAGTCATACCAATTCAGCACTAAAAATGGTAGGATTATATAAGTAAAGAATGAGTATGAACAACAATGGCACCAATGAATAAGGAAATAATTAATAAAGGAAGTGTCAAATATTTCACCCACGTAAAGCAGCGACCACATGAATTATGAAACAAAATAAGTAACACCAATTACGGAGTATATTATGCTTGAGTCAAGCTCAAACACAATATATGGTTCAGAGACAATACACTTCACTGTTTTCGTGATGGTATCCCAGGCCAGACTGAGATCATTCGGTCCTATCGCCACTTGCATAAGGGATGACACGCGGACACGTACTGAACAAGTCAGTTCAGCAGCTCGGTCCAGCGCCTGTCACCCAGACAGGGACTGGACTGTGAAATCTTAAATAACCCGTAAAAAAATAAAAAATAAATTAGCACAAGAGTATGTAAATATTAAAATTGTATTATCGTTATGATTAAACAAAATGACAAAAAAGAATGAAAATTCTCTTCTGCCAAGTCAAAATAAGTAATATAAGTTTTGTTTAATTCAGATTCCCAACATTATTTGGAAACGTACAATTTATAACAGCTCGCCGTGGCTCCCCTAAATTCTTGCCGTGGCTCCCTTGGGGGCCATGGCCTCCAGGTTGAGAACCACTGCGATAAGTGGATCCCGGAATTTTCTGACAAGGCACGGTCTCTCTACAAGGCTAAATCTTTTCCTCTGGACCGTGAAGCGCTCACAGCTTTTGATGACTTGAAGAAACTGCTTGAGGAAGCTGCCCTAAATAGCATTGACCATGCCATCCCATTTGTTGTGGAGTGTGATGCGTCGAATGTGGCCGTGTCTGCTACTTTGAACCAAGCTGGTCGGCAAGTAGCCTTCATGTCTCGGATGTTATCTGGCAGTGAGATTCACTATCCTCCTGTTGAGAAGGAGGCGACCACAATAATTGAAGCAGTGAGAAAGTGGTCTCACCTGTTGTTGGGACGGCACTTCACCATTTTTACTGACCAGCGATCAGTTGCATTTATGCTGGGCAGTTGTAGGAGGACTAAAGTGAAGAATGACAAGATACAAGGGTGGCGGCTCGAACTCGGTTGTTTTAGATATTCCATTTGGTATTGGCCAGGTAGAGACAACATTGCTCCTGACACTTTCACCCGAGCGTTCTGCGGAGCCACCTCATCATCAAACCTCGTTGTCATCCATGAAGGGCTCTGCCACCCGGGAGTTGTCAGAATGCTTCATTTTGTCCAGACAAAGAACCTCCCATTTTCTACGGAGGATGTGAAAAAGGTCTGTTCAACTTGTCGTGTATGTGCTGAAATCAAGCCACCATTTCACAGGCCTACTGAAAATACCCTTATCAAAGCAACTCAACCAATGGATAGACTGAGCATTGACTTCAAAAGTCCTCTTCCATCACACACAAGAAACTCATATCTCTTCACTGCTGTGGATGAATATTCCAGATTTCCCTTTGGAGAAGGTCGTGCCCGATCGTGCTCCCGTTAGAGACCAAGGAAAATGGCCGCTTTGGATCGTTGTGTTGTGGGGGAAGAGGAGGGGAGTGTGGGGAAAGACGACCTCCTTGCCACGCTGTTAAGGCAGCTGGGGCAGTTGAGGAGTGAGGTTGACACTCTAAAGGGGGAAAATGAAGCCCTCAGGACGGAACTCCTTCAGGTAGGTGTCCTGCCTAGCAGGACACCTGCGAAGGAGGAGCAGGCGTGGAGAATGGTTGTCTCCAAGGAGACTAGGGTCAGGCTCAGGAAAGCTGACCAGGGTGTGGAGTGTAGTAACCCTTACCAGGTGCTGCAGGAAGCTGGAGAGGAAGAGAAGAGGCAGGACGGTATGGATCAAGGAGAGGAAAGGGCAGTTGTACAAACCCTGCCCACAGGTAAGGTCGTGGTAGTTGGTGACAGCCAGGTGAGGTTTATGGATAGGGCTTTTTGTGCGAGAGATAGGAAACGTAGGACTAGGGTGTGTTTTCCTGGGGCTGGGATAGGGCATGTAGCCGAGAGGTTAGACAGGGTTTTGTCAGGGGAGGGTACCAATCCAGTAGTGTGTCTTAGTGTGGGAGGAAACGACATAGGTAAGGTTAGGAGTGAGGAACTTTTCAAGAGGTATAGGGAGGCGCTGGGGAAGATTAGAGATAGGGGAGGGATCCCGATAGTATGTGGTGTCTTGCCTAGAAGAGGGGTTGGTCGTGAATGGCTGTCCAGGGCAATTGCTATAAATTGCCGACTGGAAAAACATTGTGCAAACAATGGTTGGGCATTCATTGATAACTGGCAACGATTCTATGGCAACGACTACCTGTACTGTCGCGACGGAGTACACTTGTCTCGTGAGGGGGTAAAGACGTTGTCTGCATCCCTGGAGCGTGAAATTGTCACTCCGAAGGGGGGGTTTCGCCAGTAGAGAGGGGTCGGGGAAAGTGGGAGTCAAAAAACAAGCAGGTCCTGGGAAGTAAAATTAGTTGCTCAGGACAAGGGGTAAAACAGGACCAGGGAAGAGTAGGTTTAAATGTATACTATACAAACAGTAGGAGCGTTAGAAATAAAATAGACTTGCTGAGAGCGGTTGTATGTACCGAGAATGTAGACGTCATAGCAATCACCGAAACTTGGATGAATCTGGCGAGCAAAAATTTTTTATCAGAGTACCACATAGAAGGGTACAACCTTTTTCACAAGGACAGGGAAGGTAGGAAGGGGGGAGGGGTCGCACTCTTCGTCAAGGATACATTAAAATGTTGTACTAATAATTCAATAAAGGGTGAAATAGGAACCGAGTCTGTGTGGGTAGAAATCACGGAAGGAAGAGAAAAACTAATTATGGGAGTGATTTACAGGCCCCCAAGTCTTGGCAAAGAAGCAGCTCAGCCCATATGGCAGGAAATGAGTAGGGCAGCAAAATATAACAACCTATGCATTATGGGGGATTTCAACTTCAGAAATATTGACTGGGACAACATTGTAGGCGACTATGAATCTGAAGACTTCCTAGACGCAGTACAGGACAATTTTTTGAAACAACTAATTACAGAACCTACTAGAGGTGACAATATATTAGACCTAGTATTAACAAATAAAGAAAATATTATCAGAGATATCACAGTACGGGAAGAACTAGGTAACAGTGATCACAGAGAAATCAGGTTCACCCTAAATTGGGAAACGAAAAACAATGACAATATGGTCAGAGTCCCAAACTTTCGGTTGGCGGATTATCAGGGGTTAAGAAGGTACCTAGGTGAGGTCACCTGGGAACAGTCACGTCAGTTCCCAGTAGGAAAGGGTGAGGTCATAGATGACACAACAAATGATCATGACTATAATATATTCACTAGTATACTACATAAAGCACAAGAACAAAATATACCACACAGAAAAATTAGGTCAAATAAGAATGAGCCAAGGTTGATGACCAGAAAACTTAAACATGACATAGGAATAAAGAAAGGAATATATAAGAAATTAAAGGGAGGGGAGGAGCAGCTCAGAAACAGGTATA